CGGGAAGTACCGTTAGTGCATGCGCCATGCTACGTCATTGCTCTATCACGTACGCACAGTCGCTTCGCGCAAAATAAGGTTTGCTAGCTGTGGGACGAGTGGGAAACTTACTTTGTGGACGCGCCTCGTAACACTCTCGCAAGACTAAGTTGACTCTTTGCTGCCTGTCAATGTTTCGGAGGGACAGAATCACTTTCAGGGCTGAAGAGAAAAGGATCATAAAGAGAAAATGTTTTTTGTGGGATTATGAGGATCATACTATCGGAATTTACCGTAGACTACGAAGGGATGAGGAGGGTGATAATGGAGCCTTTCTCTCTGCTGTCCTCTAAAAGGGCCAAACACACCTGCATGTTCAACTCAAAGCTATTTTTAGTCGTCCACCCCACTGACCCCATCTTCATATTTTATTCTCTATATACCAGCAACATTCCAGCACTTCTTTGTTTGGGGTGTCCCTTAAAGACGGCCAAGTCGGCGGCGCAAAGAATAGTGTTCTAAACATTTGGCTATTCTGAATGTGATTTTCCTCAGTTATAAGGCAAATGCCAGGGTATCCGCCCCAGTCATGGAAACCAAAAGTCAAAGCGATCGAAACTCGTCTGGGTTCAATCCCCAGACATCCATCCACCCAAAGATATTTTCTTCCCACCATTAGTAGAACATAACATCCCGTAGTCGTAATACGCCAAGGCCTTCAGACAAGACAAAAATCCCGTTAACGTAAACGTATTCAGTTTAAAATTTATAAGGCACGGTTTACCGTTTCCAGTCGCGTTTCGTACGCAGGAATGATCTAACCTACCGAGAGACGATGTCTTTTCTCTTGCTCAACACTCCGACCTTAACATTTTGGTCGTCACCCCGTCCCCACTTTAAACAAATAAACGTAAATACGTCGTCAGTTTCATAATTCTTGCAAAAATAATTATCGATCTGTTGTTTTGGACTTTGATTTTATCGTGTAGTCAACTTCACGTGCGGCAGATAACTCAACTGCGCGATCCAGCAATTTTGTACACTGTAAAGTGAAAATATCGCTTATTTGTTCCGATTATTCTCGCGCTAACCACATGGTTAGAGCGTAGTCTTACAGTGACTGGTCTTTGTAGCCACACGTAGCACCTGCGGAACAAAAGTCTTGGAGGTGTGAGAGAAAGACGAGATTTTGGCTTCAGAATGTGAGAGAGAACGCGTTGGAATTATTGACTCAGTTTCTTAGTGATTTTGAGAATTCAAGGCTGTTTCGACACCTCGCGGTACCACTGCAAAGAGGAGAAGGAATAAAAGTGATTTGAAATTGGGGTGTGAAATGCCGACAGCCCATTTCAGCAAATTCATATTCCATGCACACTGCAATTAAAGTATTTACCTCTAGAGAAAATTTAAATTTTTGTGCGATTTTATGATATTTTGAATACTTGTTGGTTACACAGAAACAGTGTTCGTCGTCGAAAATACTATCAAGTTACAAGGGGGAAGCGATCGGCAGATTTCGTGCTACGTGCCTAGCCGAGCTCCGCTGCTCGTAGGTGTCCTAGCGCTACTAAGATAAGACAACTCACGGGAGAGATTGTTAATTGTGTTTTAATTATATAAACAACTTTCAGAGTTGTAAAAAATGCGGCGAACGTCTATTAAAAGACGTTAAGAACTGTGCATGTCGTACTAATTTCAAACTCGTTTTAGCTTGTCCTGTAAAAGAAGGTTTGGACTCGCGATAACAGCTTAGCCAGCAAGTGACTGGATGGCCACAGGCCGGATTTCTCGGGGTCCCACATCGTAAGGCCTTTTAATCGGCTCTGGCCCTTACCCAGCTTCTTATTCAGTGGCTCTTTCCTTACGGGTAAAACGACTGGAGCGTGAAGCTGACCTTTGAACGTTTTTCGAGCTCCAAGTTGAAGAATGCGCCGTAGGTCTTCATGGCGTGATGTTTATGCAAGGACAACTTTATTTCTACTTGTTTCCACTGAAGTTTATAAAAAAGTTTTAATGATAGCGGAATACGGTCTAATTCTAGTCTTTTAAAATGCTACATTGACAGGTAGGGTACGGGCCGAAACGTGGCGTGTTTCGGTAAATACAGAATTGCGTGTGTACTGGCTGTTTTTCAGAGGCGAACTGTGAGTCATGCGTCCTGACACTTGGAGGTGACTGGCTGTACGTTAAATCACCTGTGTTTTTGGAAGGTATAAAATTACGTTTGTGTGAACTGAGTTGAGGCTTTGGTTCACTTCCCTTTGTTTATGACTGATTTATACAGAAGAGCTATCTTGTTCCGTGTTTTCCCTTTCATTTCTGCCAAGTTCACTTCCTTTGTCCCAGGTGGTTGGTATTGATCTTGTTTCAGAAACAAAAAAGTTAACAAAATTCTTCATATTTTATTTTGTTACAGATTAATATTGACAGACTCTACTATTGCAAGACTAAATATATGATTTTAACCGCCTCGGGCAGTGCGTTGGGGAATGTTTCATAACATTCTTCCTTTGGCTCCTCCATAAAATTACTATAATTCAGTACTCGCCCTGTACCGAATCACGGACTTTTTGTGTGTGCCCTTTTGTAACACACATTTGTAAACTGTTCATATCAGTCTTTCTACGTCATCGTGTTTTATATGTAAAGCTTTCGTAACAAATTAATGTTTTAAGAATGAGCAATAAATGAAAATATTGGCACAAATATAATATTACGACTATTCTGAAAGAATTCTCATTACCTAACAAATATAAA